AGCAATATCTGGCGCAAACAATGCCTATCGCGGGTCCAAATTGAAGTTTCTTTACTCCTGGTACTTTTCATCTGTAGTATAACATCAATGATTCTTTGAGGTTTTGATATGGAAGGAAAACTCACTCACTCGATACTGGTCTGTATTTGCTGTATTTCACCGGATTTGCTTCTGTCCCCCAAACTGGAGGAGGGGGGGGGGAGAGTGGTGGTGGTGCAATGGCTAAGATTTTTCCTCCAATACATAGAGTCATTAACATCATTGAGAATGACGTCTGTTGCCGCGCCCTACTAAAATTATCTTGATGCTTTTTCTCATTTTCGCTTCATCCTCTCCATTCGAAGAGCAAACGAACAGATGATTATTGTAAGGGAAAGAAAAGGGCTTAAAAGCCTTAAATCGACGACGGCAAAAGTCCCAACGATAGATATGGAAATATTTTGTCGTGCAGCGTAAGCAATTTCAATTTTTGTATTCAAGCTGTTTTTCGCACATCTGTTTGGCTGCCATTTGGCTATGTTTTAATCAAAAACGACTTGATTATTTGAAGATCCGGGAATCAAAGGTAACTATGTTTGTAGCACGATAAACCCGCGAGGGTTGCTTATCTTTTCCTTGTTTTGTCTGTCTTCTGCCAGCCGCTATTTCGACTGCATCGCAGACGTTGTCCAAAAGTTACGATCTTTATAAGACCAGTCCACGCACTTTTTTCTTGCTCGGGCAATCCCGAACAGGCAAGATGGGCCCATCTTTCCCATTCGGGTAGTCAATCAGAACACAGATTCGCTTCCTATTGCCCACGAGCGCTGCCAGCTATGATAAGTTTACGTTATGCAGTGGCCGAAATATAAGGATTTGCGTGGGGATAAACAGTCACGCTCTCGAGCTAAAACGTCTGAAATCGATTTTTAAGAAGATAAAAAAACTTTCCTCGCCTAACTGGTTGTTCCTTCGTCTCTACATTTAAATTAGGACTCCGCCAGTGAGGGCTGTAATCAAAGCGGAGGTAATAGAAACAAATGTTGTCAAACGGAAAATAGTGTAGTGCGATCTAAAAAAAAATAGCTGAACGGCACTTGAACAAGCGCACACGGCTTAATGTTCTCTTCCGATATTGCTGCTTTTGTTGTAGTGCGGTATTAAAAAGTTAATTCTCAAAAGTTGTGTTAAAATTCACTAGTAAAGATTCTAGGCAACTGACCTTTATTAAGCTCTGGAAATATCAAAACTGCCTCCTAGGTTTGCAAACTTTGCGAACTTTCCATGCAGATTATCAGCTCACAATCGCAAAGGTAGACTAATTCTGGCCACAAAGCCAGTT